ATGAGGGTTAATGAGTGTCATTAGAATATCATGCTGACTGCATCATATTGTTGCTATGTGTATTGTGTAATTGTTCCTCCAAAGGTTTAACCTTACACAATATTTTTTCATTTTCCCCCAATGTTATTTTCTTGTTGTGTTTTTCTCGCTTTCTTTTGAACACTCTCTTTCACATAGTGCTCTCTTGCTCATCACTACTATTGATCTGGCTGTCTCTGTTATTTAAGATTCCCTGAATGCTCATTAATTAAGCCTGTTGAGAAGATCTAGAGAACAATTCCCACCCTCAATATCAATTACTATCAGAATAACCGTTTGAAGAGACACACTGTAACCCAGTTGTTTGCTAACAACCAGCCCAAATCTGCAGCATATTGCTGTATGCTGTGGATATTAGCAGGTATAAAGATATATTGTGTTTATTTACAAGTAAACACTCTTTTTCAAATAAAATAAAAAGGAGATAGTTTTTTTTTAACAATGTCCTTAAAAAAAAAACTGCCTTAATGCACATATTTTGAGATTTAGCACAGCACTGGTTGTCCATAGTCAGCTCTCTTGAGTATCTTAAAGGATTGCATGCCTAAATATCTGCTTTTCTTGACGATCTGGACACATTGTATTGATTTTCTGTAGATGAGCTGGAGAGCTGTGGTTACAGAGGTTTGTTAAAAGACTGCTCAAAAGGATAATGCATGTATGGTGGTCACACGATCAAGTCTAGTTGTGTTGAGTTATTTTAGGATTACATAACATATTGGCTGCGATACACAGGGTCAGGAAATGTATTGCAATGATCATGCATCTATAATTTTGGTGTTTTTTGTGTGCATGAAATGGAAATTCATCCTATTTCTTTTCTTTTTTTTTTTTTTATGATTAATCTGTGCCACGGTTATTATATTTCACTAAGACTAAAACGATAAAAAAAATATTTTCATTACTTAAAATAAAATAAAATAAAATAAAAACCGTATTAATTTTATGTAATTGCCAAGGCAACATTTTTTTTCTTTTTTTAAGTTTAACTACAACTGAAATAAAAATGTATAAAAACCATGTAGACATAAAAAAATAATAAAAATGACAAAAGACTAAAATTGCAAAAACATGAAATACAGTATAACATCATGAAAACAGGAAATATAAAATAGAAACTAATTCAAACATTAGTGAAAACTATAATAGTATCTTGATACTAAAATAATACTGATCCATGCACATGTTTAATTTATTTATTTGAAGTGTTTATGTATTTATTTATTTATTGATTGATTGTTTGAATTTAACCTCAAAATGGCATAACTCAATCTTCGGGTGAGACTACAAACTATGCCTGACTTGTCCAGTTAATTGCTTTGCACAAACTCTCATTCATCCAGTCAATAACTTAGAACCCACCCTATATTTTTTCTTTTACAAAAAAAACAACAACAAAAAATTACTTGGATGTGCCTCCCAATATGCAAGAATAGAGAAGACTTTAATTTCATAAGATATTTTATAAGATATTCACGTGAGTCTAAGCTCAGTTAATCATTTGTATTTGTTGTCACTCACTTGTCTGCCTGTAGAGCTGAACCTGGTCTTGAATGTTTCTCCAGGGCTGAACTCTTTGACACAGCACACAGTTAAAGGCAGCAATCAGCTCTCTGGAGTGATGAGTGCCACAGCTTTATCGGGCAGCTGTATAGATGTCTATCCCTCATCTTTATGGGGACATTTATGATGGAGGGATTTCCAAGACACTGATCACTCTCCTCTGTATCTGAGACCATAACCTACAAGCCCATCCTATAGTTTCATGCTTTTTGTGTGCCTTGTTGTTTGTTTTACGAAAATAATATATATTGTTAGTAATAAGCTGGAGAAGACATTTATATCAAAATCAAATATTTCCAAGTTCTTGTGTCCTAGCTGCCTTTCTGTTGTTGTTGCATAGTCGTGTTAGTTTTTCTTTGACATTTGTGTACCATCATTTACATTTTTTATTTTTTTGGCAGGAGTTGTTTTAAAGGAGTTTTTATTTGAATTTTCAGTAAATATTCATTAACGAGACACTGATTGTCCAGTAAAAGTATGTGGGGGCAGGAACAGAACAGAATGAGCTCATTGACTTGACAGTAAGGATGTTAATGGAAGCCATTTTCGCTTTAATCTAATAGATCGCTTTATAATATTGAACATGCAAGTGTGCGACATCTCTTTCTCGCAATTGTAGCCGAGCTCTAGGATTTATCGTGGTAATATTTCCACTCTGCCTCCAATTTCAGACATTGATTACCCTCAATAACAGCAAACGTGGACCTTTTTCCACATGTACCTGGTCCAGTGCCAGAGTGATTAAGCTGTTTCTAAGCCGATTAATGAAAGAAGGTCTGAATCAAGAAAATACCTTTGAAAATGAAGGAAATGACTTTCCACAGCAGATGTGTTGCTACATTGCCTATTATGTTGCCTATTAAATAGCCTTTTTCAATGGCCCATTATTTTCCTCAATAAAAACACTCACTGGAGCTCGCATACTCCTGCACTTCAGAAAGCATATTGAAGGAACGATGAAATCCCCTGTATAAAATGAAACATTTGATGTCTTAAACACGAACCAGACGGGTTCAGGCTACTTGACAGGGCTTCATGGCAGGTGTGGAGTGGGCCAATTCTGTTTTATAACTGCATCTCTCCTCAGAAAATCTGCCAGGGAACAAGCCCCCTGCCAGTCGCCCGCCTCTCGCATGCCCTCGGATTACTGAAAGGTTGCGCCCATTATGGAGTTATTGAAAGGCAAAATCATGGCAGAAATCGTTACGGGACCTCCCTTTATACTTGACTTCAAATGTCACATCTATTCTATTCTATTCTATTCTATTCTATTCTATTCAAAGTAGTTTCCCAATTTAAAATGTTCCTCATGGATTACTGAACATAAGAAACTGATATGTGATCTCAAACCTCGTTGGCTGTCTGAATTTTGAATTCTGACATTTTGAAAAAGCTATGGCAACCAATACAGTTCACGTCAATCAATTACCAAGAGAGCCACGTTCATCTGGCCTCCAGTAATATGACTGTTTACCCCTTTGCATGTGGCTCTGTGAAATACAAGCCTCTAGTATTGTCTTTTTCGGGCTTGTGACATATTGTCGTAATGTGACAGAAAGCCAGGATGAAATGTGGCATTTTGGAAAGGTCAGTTCATGGCCGTCTCAGAATTCGTCTCCCATCATGACAGTGGCAGTTGTCATATGGATGTTGGCATGTGCAGTCATCCTATAACTTGGAGAAAAAATGCAATGGGACTATCTAAAGATGATGACTTCCTGCTTTCTTGTGACATACTAAATTAAAATGTTTATTATTTGCTTTTAAAGTAATTTTCTGTTAATTTTCATGACTTTTTTTTCTTTTTGGTAGGAGTATGTTAACACTTACATTTTTTTTTTAAATGTACACAGTCATTCAAAAGTTTGGGATAAGTAATTTTTTAGAAGAGACCCCTCCATCCCCCACACATGATTGTAAAGCGCTTTGGGTGTACAGCAATACACAATAAAGTGCTATATAAATGCCCCATTCATTTTTTATTTAGATTGTAAATTAATGCTGTTCTTATGAATTTTGTATCATGCTTTCCACATATATTAAGGAGTGTGACCCTTTTCAACATTGAAAATAATAAGAAATGTGACTGAAGAAAATTCAGCTTTGCCATCACAAGAATACATTTAATTTTAAGTATTTTAAATTATCAAAGCTATTTTAAATTGTAATTATATTTCACAATATAAATGGTAGTGTAAATATAATTAATTATATGGGGGAAAAAACGATCAAATTTTTTGCAATATAGGCTAAATATTTATGATGCAACATAAAATAACAGAACTACAGAATTAATGGAACTTTTCCCCCCCTTGATTTAAGCAGCTACACATTGGTTTAGGTTTAGGTTTTTCCATGTATATTAATTAAGGCAGTGTATCCATGTTAAGGTATAACATTATCATTTTAGAAATTTCTCTCAAATTTCTAAGTCCCTCCAGCAGGAGGAGGGAGAAAAGACGTGCTTGTCCCAGAATCAAATCAAATTCCTCTTATCATCTTGTTATTTGCCGATGTTATCTGTGCAGGTAATGTGGTTATAAATTCAATTTCAGCCATGGGATTTCATTGTTTACTGATGCTGGTTGCCTTTAGGCAGAGATGCAAGCAGTTAGTACTTGTCAGTGAATTTATTTGAGCTGCACCGTAGATGAAATTTAAAAGAGAGGGGACTCACAGGGGGGCCGACTTTCAAGGGCATGGCTCCAGGTGACGTTTATATGCAGATCCATGTTTTATTCACATCTATTTGCTTTCATTTGGCCACATGGTAGTCTGTGATGGCCTCACTTCGAGACAGGTATTGCTAGTTGATGTCTCTGCTGTCATGTTAATGAGCTTCTTTTAAGTGACACATCTGCCTGGACTAGATGATTTTTATCATTGTATAGAATTCTCGGTAACACTTTACTTGAAGGGGTGTGCATAAGACTGACATGACACCTTCATAATCATGACATGACACATGTCATGAATATGAAGGAGGTTTTATGCATGTTTATGAACACTGTCATTAAGTGTCATTCGCTCAGTTATGTCATTTTTAATGCAAATATGACATTATTTGACCTAACCTAACCCTACCCCTACCCTTACCCCTAACCATAGCCCATAACAAAGACATCTCAAACAATGTCATCTTTGCATTAAAAATTACATAACTGAGCGAATGACACTTAATGACAGTTGTCATAAACATGCATAAAAAACCTTCATATTCATGACATGTGTCATGTCATGATTATGTAGGTGTCATGTTATGATTAGGAAGGTGTCATGTCAGTCTTATGCACACCCCTTCAAGTAAAGTGTAACCGAATTCTCTTTAATACTCATTGTAGGTTTATAATAATAAAGCATGTCTCTTTTGTGTGCCCCTCTCTCACCTGTCTCTCCAGGTAAAGTGAAGGCCCTGTATGACACACAGACGCCCATCTGTCCGATCTGTCATGCTGTGCTGCGGCCAGGAGAGTTGCAAGAACACATGGAGCAGGAGATGGAGCGTCTAATGCAGCTACACAATAGGTACATCCTCCAGTTCATCCTCAACACACTCTTGACAACAGTCTTTTGATATATGTAGACAGCAGATAAGCGCACTTGATCAGCACAGTGGAGTGCATCATTTGTTATTATTTTGAGTCGTTTGGGACGCGGTAACACACGGCTCTCTCACAATATATTGCTTTACAGATCTATCACTTTTGCCACTCAGAAATGTTAGTGCAATCATGCTGCACGTATCAAAAGTTCAGCGCTCGGGTGCGGTTAGAGCTCACACTACATGCGTACCGCGCCCGAGCCCAACTGAACCGCGCTCTGGCCCACCTCTTCCAACCGAACCAGGGACAGCTTAACGAACCGGAGCGATCACACTAGTAAAAAACGAACCTGGCTTTAGGGGTCAAATGCGCTCGGGCTCGGTTAAGATTGCCTAGTGTGAGTACGCCCTTATTCTCCCGCATCCCGCACACACGAGTCTCTACCCGCCCGCACCCGCACTCGCCCATCAAGTGTTGTCCCGCGCCGCACTCTGTTGCGTTGGGTCCCGCCATAGTGCAGGTCTTTACTCGGAAGGTGCCTGTTATAATGTTATGATCGAGGCTCTGGACTCTGAGCATAACTTATTTTTCTATAACAAACTATCAAATATTTTTTATAAAAACGTTTATGCCCTGGCAGTGGCAAATACCTTTGTTTTTATATTTAATTTGATCACATTAATGTTTAAGTTGAGATTTACAATAATTATTTTAACTGCTACTATGTAAAAGGAATACTGCGGTAAAAAAGCACCTTATGTGGTGTTCGGGTCCTTTTTGCTCCGAAAACATTTTTTTTTCCCCGAAAATACTAGTTAATGTTATCGCATTGGACTGAAATTTTGTGACTTTGTTCACAAAGGGTATAACTACTTCTAAAAAAATTTTTGATCATTTTCATACTTTTCTGGGGGAGATTTTTCACCTTGTTACACCCGTGATGTTACAGAGCAAAAAGGACCCGGCCTCAAACAAATGCTTATAAATCACTCATTATGCTATATTATCAACAAAGATTGGATTCAATCTTTTTGTCAACTTCTTATCTTTCATTTAAGACTGGTTTTGTATTTATATTTGCTTCTGATTAATCGTTGGCCTCATTTATCTGAGAGTAGGCACCTCATTTTTTGAGTGAAAAAAGCATTATTTATGGATAATTTTCACAATGTTCACAATGCTAACACACAAATTTTCATCAGTTTTTATTTAATATTGTGAAAATTATTCATAAATAATGCTTTTTTCACTCAAAAAATGAGGTGCCTTCTCTCAGATAAATGAGGCCTACGATTAATCAGAAGCAAATATAAATACAAAACCAGTGCTAAATGAAAGAAAAGAAGTTGACAAAAAGATTGAATCCAATATTTGGTGATAATATAGCATAATGAGTGATTTATAAGCAATTTTTTGAGGGAGTACCCTTTTTGCTCTGTAACCTCGTAAGTGTGATAGGGTTCTGAACACAACACAAGGGTTAAAGTGTTTGCAAACCAAATGTTATTGCACTTTTGTTCATATATAGCAGTACTTTTAAATGAAAAAGTGCACAATACACTACTTTTTAATTCATTATTGAATTTTGTGCATATCAATGCGATTAATCGCAGAAAAAACATGTGATTAATTTTTAATTAACGCGATTAATCGTTGCACATATATATCCATGTATAAATGAATGCATTTTATTTTATATTTAACATTCTTTATTAATATATTTAGCATTTCTTTATTTAAATCGAATACTTAAATCGAGAGTATCCCAATGCTGACCCAATTTTTGAATCCATTTTGTTGTTATAATAAAACAATGCCTAAGAAAATTCAAACAATAACTTTATTTGTCTGTTTTTTTGTTTTTTGTTTTTGTAAACCAGTTAGAAAGAAATTAATAATTTTAATTTAACATTAATATATTAATATCTAATATTTAATTATTTAAATTGAAAAATCTAAAAGAAAATTAAGAAAAAATAACTATAAAAATAATATAATATCCAAATGTTGTCCAAATTTTCATCATAATCTAAAATCCTAATAAAAAAATATATATATATAAATAAATAACTTAAAAAAAAATGTATTTACTTGCTTAGTTACTTATGCTTACCATATAGAAATAAATCCTCCCAACCATTAATTCTTCAAACGGCTTGGTTGCGGGGATGCTGGAGCGTAATATAAATGCAATAATTTATTTTATTATTTATAATTTTTATTTTATTAATACTAGTTTTATTTAACATTTAAATAAATAAATAAATCCCAATGCTATCTGCTATCACACTCTTTTCCACCTCATTCTTCACCTCCAATTCTCATGGAGACGACAAAAATGAAACCTGTCATGTTCCTCTGTAATGAACATGATACAATCCATATAATGACTGAGACAATCAATAATCTATCAACCTCCCTCTGCTTCGCTCATGTCTTCTTTTGTTTTTCCATCCATCCAGCTCAATCTGAGATCATCAGCTGATCAGTCAAGGGTTGATTTGTTTTTTTTTAACTGCCTCAGTCTCTTTGTGTCGGCCGGAGCACATAGACAGTAAAGTGCCGCTGACAGTCAGCATGCTCTTCTGTCACTCTTACTCAAATCTCATCCAGGCTCATGAAAATGCATCGCTGCCCATAGTAAAGCGATTAAAACTGGAGACAAGAGCAGGAGAGATGGAGGAAGGGCAGAATTAAAGCAGATTGAGCCAATGAATATGTACACACACATATAGATGCACACAAACTCCTTGACACCTCCTCCCTGTAGCCTGTCCTTTCCAAAGGCACATTAAATGCTTCCAGGTCTTGATGGCATATTTATCTACAGCCTCCGGGCATGTGCACCATGCTTCCACCCTTCTCCCTGTCTCCTCCATCATTGCAACATCACAAATTACAAGCTGTTACATTGTTCCTGACATTTCACAGCCAGTCAAGCTCAAGGCAGTCCCTGCGAAAATCATAGCAAGCTAATAACGCGTTTCCTCAACGTTTGCTATCAGCATCAGACGAGGCAGGGCGGCACATTAGCCACTCTGAACACATGAAAGATTTCTCCAATAAAGAAATTATAGCCATAATCTGCTTAGTGACAGAGCTGTGGACAGTAATTGTGTCAAATTGAACTCGGCCCCAGGGTGTGTTAGAGCCTTCCTGCTGTACAGGACCTTAGTGGAGACAGGTTTTATACATGATTTTTATTTGACTGTGAAGGAAATGTCGTTTGAGAACAATATGCAACCTGATCCCTCGTTTCCGAGCATGTTTGCATATTCTGATTCAAGCTTTGTGTTTAAAACAAGACTGAGTTTTGTTGGTAATGGGATTGTGGTGATGAAATATGTGTTAATAACACTCTCTCCTGTTTACAGTCAGGGTCCTGCTCAAAAGGAGTGTCTCGCTGCTGGGCCGCCTAAGGTACGGACTCTCCAATGTACTTCACAACACTTGTTTTGTACAATTTATTTATGTCTACAGGCAATAATAACAGCTCTACCTCTCTCAGTCTCTGTTCTCTATGCACATAAAGAGAGAGGGTTCCTCCTCTGCCTCCTCTCCACGTCCCGCTGATGAGGCTGTGCACTCCGACAGGTACCAGGTGAGCACGAAATGCACGTTATATACATCTAACTTCATTAGCTTGCACTTCTTTTGAAGAGCATATTGAACTTTAATCAGTTAAAGGTAGAATCAAACTAATTAAAGTGTGGACTTTTCCCATTCCTGGACTACATGTCAATCAAAAGTTTGAGACAGACCTCAGTGTAGTGCTGCCATCTACTGGACTTTAATTGAATTTAAAATAATATTAATGTTCTAAAAATGTTACATTATATTTTCATTCTTCTTAAGAAACTTGAAATTCACTATAGCATCTATAAAGATAGCCTTCATGCTTTCAATGTTGGAACTAGCCACAGATAGACAGACCTTCTCAAACCTTATAAACAGTAACTTAAACAAAAACACTCGCACTCTTTTTGCTACTGTTTAGAGACTGACAAACCCCCCAAGTCAGATTCCCAGTGAAATGCTCTCCAACAGCAAATGCAATAAGTTTGCTTCCTTCTTTTCTGAGAAGATCAATAATATCAGAAAGGCGATTAGCACATCCTCAAGTTATGCAGAGGTCAGACAGATTGGACCGCAATTTCAAAAATAAGTCACTATGTCTATTTTTGAAGCAACTGATAGCAAAATTTTGGAAGAAATAGTACAGCACCTTAAATCGTCAACCTGCTATCTTGACACACTTCCCACATCTTTTTTCAAAAGTGTGCTTAACGGTTTAGAAGCAGATCTCTTAGAAGTGGTGAACGCCTCGCTTCTTTCTGGGACTTTTCCAAACTCCCTGAAAACTGCAGTTGTTAAGCCCCTTCTGAAAAAGAGCAATCTTGATAACACCATATTGAGCAACTATAGACCAATATCAAATCTTCCTTTTATAGGCAAGATTATTGAAAAGGTAGTTTTTAATCAGCTGAACAACTACTTAAACTCAAATGGATACCTGGACAATTTTCAATCTGGTTTCCGACCGCATCACAGCACAGAGACAGCGCTCATTAAGATAATAAATTATATTCGCTTTAATTCTGATTCTAGCAAAATATCAGTGTTGGTACTACTAGATCTTAGTGCTGCGTTTGACACTGTTGATCATAACGTACTTCTAGAGAGACTGGAAAGCTGGGTCGAGCTTTCTGGGATGGTACTCAAATGGTTCAGGTCATACTTAGGCTCAATTCTTGCACCGATCTTGTTTAGCCTGTATATGCTCCCACTAAGTCAGATAATAATGAAATGTGTTTATGCGGTTTAAGTTTAAAAAAACACGTCGATTTTTACAAAGCTCATCGTTCTGAAAAGCGAGGTGTGCTCTGATTGGCCAGCGATCCAGTGCGTTGTGATTGGCCGAATGCCTCAAGCGTGTGACGGAAATGTTATGCCCCTACCATACTGTGATGCCGTGTCCCGGTGCGATGAGACAAATACAATAAAACCCATTATAAATTAGGCATTTTTAGCATCCAGTGGGGACATAATTACGGATTATAATGACTTATACAGTCGTTTTACGCGTTGCGTGACATCGCGCCACGTAAACATAAAACCATGTCTGCATTTGTGATCGGAGAAACAACAAACAACAAGCGCTACTCTACACTGCTCAAAACTCGCGTTTGAATAGTCAGTGGCAAATTCTTTAAATATGAAAACGTACTTACAGGCTGTGAGTCAGAACAGCCAGCATTGTAGTCTACTCTCCCAGGTTCAGGAAACAGTCCTCCGTAAAATGCGCTGCACACATCTGAATATTTGGTTTTAACTGTTCTGGAACAGTGTTGTAAATACAACTTAACCGCTGATTTCTAGTTGTGTCCTCTTTTGGAAGGCCAAACAAAGTAGTTTCGCTTTCACAACGAAACACACAGCGTCTCCACGACATGGCGGCGGCGGCAACAACAATACTACAGCGAGAAACAAAGTTACGCCTTCTTTCTTTGCGTAAACATTTGGGTGTTATTCAAATCCTTCTTTCTTTGCGTAAACAAATCGGTGTTATTCAAATCTTCCCACAAAGTGACGTAGACATGTGGGGGCGTGTTTAAACAAGGCGTTTTAGGAGGGCGTGGATGAGTCTTAACTTTTATAAATAATATCTCTTTGGGTTTGAGACTTTGGTCTATGCAACTTTAGGGATCTTATCTATTCACGAACAGTTTGTAACAGTCAAAAGAGAAAGGAAAACTTGAAATCGCATCATATGGTCCTTACACTGGCTTCCAGTTACATTTAGGATTGATTTTAAAGTACTTTTACTCTTTTATAAATCACTTAATGACCTAAATACATTGCAGATATGCTCACCAAATATAAACCTAACAGACCACTCAGATCATTAGGATCGAGTCAGTTAGAAATTCCAAGGGTTCACACAAAACATGGGGAGTCCGCTTTTAGCTATTTTGCCGCCTGCAGCTGGAACCAGCTTCCAGAAGAGATCAGATGTGCTAAAACATTAGTCACATTTAAATCCAGACTCAAAACTCATCTGTTTAGCTGTGCATTTATTGAATGAGCACTGTGCTTATTATTTTACAAACAATGCTGTCCTCATAATATCACACTTACTTTTTTTGCTGCCATTTTTCATAGTATAAATTGGTCATTATATTTTAGGTTTGCAGGGTATGGTCAATCCTAAACATAAAAAATTTGATTTATACCTGAATTGCTGTTTATAACCCATTTTACTTCCACAATATGACATATTTGTGAAACTGGATATTCTGAGAACAAATGTTTTATGATGGCTTAAAGGCTTATTCTTTAAAATAAAATGTTAGGTGTAATGTTTTTGTATGAGATTATGGATTTTGAACCTTCCCTTTTGTTTTTCTTTTTTCATTAGACATTTTTGCGAGTACGAGCAAACAGGCAAACAAGACTCAATGGTAAGGTGTCAATGACTTTCAGTATCTCAAAATCTTCTCACTGTATTTCTCTTTTTTATTTTGCATTTCAGTCATTCTAGAGTCATAAACATGCATTGGATCTGACCAAATTCATGTATCTCTATGAATACTAATACAAGTTTTTTTATACAAGTTCCATAACAAGACATTCTTTGAAAATGACGGTAACACTTTAGAATAGGAAACACTTATTCACTATTAACTACGACTTTTCCCTCAATAAATTCCTAATTTGCTGCTTATTAATAGGTAGTAAGGTAGTTGTTAAGTTTAGGAATTGGGTAGGATTAGGGATGTAGAATAAGGTCATGTAGAATAAAGCATTAATATGTGCTTAATTAGTACTAATAAATGGCTAATATTCTAGTAATATGCATGCTAATAAGCAACTAGTTAAGAGACCCTAAAATAAAGTGTTACCAAAATGACATACAGTAATTATTACAAATTGTCCTCAGACAGCACTGGTACACTTTGAATCACACTTCTAACACAGTTAAACATTCACAATTAAAGCACCACCCCTGACCTTTGACCTAGCACCCTCACGAGCAGAGCGGATTATTGACCTTTAACCTTTTTATATGTTAACAGTTAAGGAGCTCTGCTGGTGCAGGTGCTACGCCAAACAGAAAGTGAAATCTGTTCATGTTTGGCCTGACTGTGGATTCCCACATGTATCTTCTTGCCCACTGTCTGGTAAGCTGTTCTCCACACACGGCACATGACAGCGGATTCACTACCAACTCTATATAATTTTATTTACATCAAGTTTTGTGTTTAGTAAAATTATAGGTATATAAAGAAGCTTTATCTAGAATGCCAACCAGCACTGATTTAAATTAATCTTAAAGGAGAAAATGACTTTAGAATCATCTTCTACAGATGTAGAATGAGATGATGAAAATTTATATAGTATTTAATGTAATATTACGCCCTTGACACAGTTATACACAGAGTATTGAAGCTCTGTACTGTGAAATATTGATACTCTATCATGTTGAATTTTTGATCATTTATCAGGACTGTTAATTTTTATGTTATTTCATTAACATCTAAAAAAGGTGCACTGGACGATTGGTCACAGCTAATTGATCAGGTTCTCTCTCTAATTAATGATCCCCTCTCTGTTATGCTCAACTTCATTGTGATTGTAACAGCCTCAGCTCTGTTTATACTGTCTTCTTTCACTATATTATGAGCTGAGGCTCCTAAAGATTAATGTCCCTTAACATCATTAGCAGCTCAGCAAAACACAGAGATTTTAATGGAGTGGTGGATACCGTTCCACAATGCTGAATTTTACTACTTCTGTGTGTGTGTGTGTGTGTGTGTTTGAGAGAAGAAGATGCAGAGAATTCTGGAAATCTTTTATTTGTCTTTATTTTATAATCAGATAAACAGATCAGTCCAATTCCCTTCCCATTTATTTATCTTTTGTAGGCCATAGAGGCCTTTCTGTCTTATCAGTTTATGTCAGCTTGAGATCGTATATATTTCCATCATAAAACTGCTACTGGAGAAAAATCAAATCAAAAAATGTATTTATGCTTCATATTTTTAGATAACATAATATGAAAAGTGTCAAGCATCAGTAAAAAATCTGCTGTTTTGTTGAGGTTTTTTTTTCATTGTTTGTTTTATTTTACAGCACGCATTGGGAAACTTAAAAGACGGAAAGCAGAGGAAGACCAGGTATGATGAAAATGCAACTTATTTCTCAGTGTGCATTTGTCAGAGGCGGACAAAGTACTCAACTCCATTAAGTAAAGTACAGATACTCAAAAAGTGTACTTAAGTACAATACTCAAGTAAATGTACTTAGTTACTGTCCGCCTCTGGCATTTGTTCATTCAAAACAATGAACCTTCCTTCCCCTGTAGTCTGTATTTTCTCTAGATCTGCTTTCACTGACAGATTTTGAGCAGTTCTGTGCAGTTGGGCTTGTGTGACTGTTTGTGATGTCTGTACTTGACAGGCAGCATGAGACAGGCGTCAGCTGTCCTGTTCTGCTAAGTCAGTCGTATGATGTATAAGACAGGTAAATGTGGCCAGAAGGATCAGACAAACTATAAACCTGCCTGTGAAATGTCTGTTTCTTTTTATTTTCTGTTTCTTTCAGCTGTGACCTAATGCCAAGAGGGCATTCAGGGCAGGCAGCAGATGAAAGCGTTGTCTCGAGGCTGGTGGAGACATTTTCACCAGAGATTCTGATATGTGTGTGTTTTCTACAGAGAGACGGCGTGTGTGTTGTTGAAGATGGCTCTGTGCTGTCAGCCGGGAGGGAGTTTGAATGGGCCAAACAGAGAAGAATACAGATGGTTTCTGTTCTCAGAGGCTTCAGAGGTACGAAACACAAACAAACACTTCACAGTAATTAAAATACAAGCCAAATACTCAAATACATCCATATAAATCAGTCCATGTTTATAAGGAGTCAGATTGGAGTAATGTATCAGATTAGAAAGGCAAATATCTTTAAAAAAAAAACTCTACAATAAAAAAGCCACTTAACTTGATGAAATCAGTTGCTAACATCCCAAAACTGGAAAAAAAAAAAACTGTCTACAGAGGAGTACTTAGTCCAATTATGCATTGTGACAAGCTCAGTGAAAATAATAATGCAGTACTGAAATGTATCAATAGAAAAACAGTGCAAATAAAAACCGATTATTTTATCCAATCTCCATGTGCTACACTGAAAAAAAAGCCACTGTGTAGTTTTTACTTTAAAACAATTTTCTCTCAGAAGTAATGGCAAGTAAAGCAATGAATTAAAATTTTGAAGTAGAAATAGTGTTTTCTTGTAAAAAATGTACTCCAGTAATCTATGGAAACATTTTTTTTACAGTGTGTATATTTTTATGTAAACTAGTAGGCATCATGCTAAATAGAGTAATAGTTTGTTGAAATTGAATACAAATGTCAAGTCTATTTGTAGAGTTAATGCCAATGCACAGCGTTCCAAAATCGGTTACCTATGAGGTTCAGTGACCGACTATGTAAGCAGCAAGGCAGCTCACTTAGTTTTGCAACAGAGCTTGTGTGTGTGATTAGTTCACAACAGACACGTGAGGTAATTGGAGTGGTGTTAACCTCTTGAGAAGGAGATTACTGTAAAAACTGTCAAAAACAGAGACAGAGCCGATCACAAAGGACTCAAAGGTCATATAGACCCTTGTGTCCTTAAAAACACTTTTAATTTTATTAGCACTTTGCAGTTCATCAGTAGGGCGCATTTGTATCTCGACCTATTTTTGAATTTCATACTCTATTCCTTTGGCTGTCTTGCTCGGTAAGGCTTTGTGTTTTTTGTCATTTAATAAATTCTCATATCAAATGTCCTAAGGTTTGGTGAGCAGCACACTGAAAGAACATCAGGACAGTGATGCAGATCTGGATGTGGACGGTGATGATACTTTGGAATATGGAAAAGCACAGTATCCTTATTTTTGCTGTCAGTCAGCACGGTTTATGGCACAGCAAGAACATGCAGTGATCTTTTTTTTTTTTTGTGAAAGCATTTTTGATAATAAGAAATGTTTCCTTAGCAAATGATCTCAGATACACAGAGGTGGATGTGATTCCCTGTTCGGAAATTTTAACTTCTTTCCGTGTGCTCTGGGACAGATTTTCAAGCATTACTAATCGTGCAACTGAGGTCAAGTTTGCACATGGAAGGGACACATGAGGAATTATATATGGCTGACCCGTTCAATAAGAGTACACAAATCAGTTCTTTCTCAGCGGGGCTACATTTTGGCAAGTTCACTGAAGCGTGTTTGACTTATGTTTTGGAGTGAATCATTAATCAGCTTGATTGATCCATTTATCAGTCGAGGAGTGTCATATTGCAGGGAAACTATGAAATACTTTTTCTAAATGTAATTATTCTGAATGTATTATGTGCGAGTGATTTGTACGTATTTGCATGTCCACCCACAGATTAGAGAAGTTGCATCATCAGACTTTTCTCTTTCTCTGTCACACACACACACACACAAATTATATATTATATTATTATATTATATTATACTGTATAGGCCTATATCCCATGGTGCCTCATGATTTTCATATTTAAAAATATATATACAATATATATATGTGTGTGTGTGTGTGTGTGTGTGTGTGTATGTGTATATATATATATATGCTCATGCACACAATATAAAATATAAAAATATATTAATATAATTTTACATTTAACACAAGATTTCTGTTTTGCAGCATATTTTTCTACCTGATCCGTCACCACTCTCCAGTAGGTATTTAGCCTGAGGACGAGGGCAGTTATTTCATATTTCCAGCAGACAGCTACAAGAGAAAACCAGGATTCATTATGCTTATATTTGGCGGCTATTACATGAGGCAGTTTTGATGGATCACTTAAACCCCCTGCTGTCATAGTTCAATTCCTGAGAGCTGATTAAATGGGGATGCGTTGGCCAGGATGTTCCTACCGGGGAATTAGGGGCTCTGAGCGAGTGTTATTTAATTGTGGTGAAGTGGAAACACTTGAGTGAGGAAGGGTTAGTGAGGCGGGAAGGATGACCATTCCTGACAAATGACAGTACGCGCTTGCTGCCCAGCCCTGTGTGGACGCGCTAATAAAGCAATTAACACTGAGACAATGTTTGCACACTGCAGTGACATGTCTGTCCCTTACCTGCTGTGGGAAAGGCCGACACAAGGGGCAATCTTAAGCTGTTTTTGCCCACACTAAAAGTTTTTGTAATTGTACTTTTATTAGGTTTATTAAGTTACTTAAAATTTCCATAGGACCTTTTGTGTCTTTTCTTTGATTATCTAACCACTTCGTATCCATTTACTTGAACATAGACATATGCAGTCAGTGCATATTCATTTATATGTGAATAACACATATTCAGTGCTTAATTTTTACTGTTCAATATGGCAATACAATAGGGATGCTCACTATCATGTGTTACAATGTTGAATTTGCTTCTGAATGCACCTCATTTAATGATGCAATCTGTCTTCTGATTACCGTTCATGTGTAATTTAGAATTCATAACATGTGGCCTTCAGCGACAAAGCCCTCAGCATGCTGTGACTTTCTAATCAATCTCTGATGGATTTGTTCTTTGTTTCGTTTAGGTTACCGGATGACCCCACCCTCAGTACGCTGGAGGCCCTGAAAATACGCATCCGAGATCTGGAGAAGCAGCTCACACGAGGGGACAGATTCAAGTGTCTCATCTGCATGGTAAGCTTGACCTTGCATATGTATTCAAAATGGACTAAAATGAAATGAATACATATTAATTACTATTCAAATGTTTGTGGTCAGTAATAGACTTGTTTAATGTGTTAGAAAGAAGTCTATCATGCTCACCAAGGCTGCATTTATTTAATCAAAAATAGAGTAAAAACAGTAATATTGTAAAATATTATTCCAATACAAACAATTTTGTCATTTTTCTATTTTAATGTTTTGAAATCGCATGCTTCTAAAGAAATCATTGCAACATGCTGATTTGCTGCTCAAGAAACGTCTTATTTATCAATGATGAAAACAGAAAAATAAATTTTTCTTATGCACATCATTTTATTGTGTACATATACTTTTTCAGGACTCTTACACAGTACCTCTGACCTCCATCCAGTGCTGGCATGTCCACTGTGAGGAATGCTGGCTTCGCACCCTGGTGAGATGAACATGAATCATACTGTACTTAAAAAAAAAATTAAAAAAGATTTAAAGCACAGCCGTGTGATTTCAACACGTGAACCCTTTGTTACTATCAGTTGTTATTGATTGTCAAATTATCATTCTCGCAGGGAGCAAAGAAACTGTGTCCACAGTGCAACACTATCACCTCACCTGGGGACCTGAGACGAGTGTATTTGTGAAAGATTACAGCTGTCCTGTCATCTGCCTGTTTGCACTCTACACAAATAGATCTTTCTGGGCTGATGCAAAACTTAGAAGACATCTTGCCCAACAGAGTCATTGCCCAAAAGTTCCTGTCGGAATGCAACCCAGTTACTGTACATGAAGACCACTGTGTTAATTTCTTAATGAAATGGTAAAGTTTTAAAGCATAAATCTGCCGTAACAATATTGTAAGGACAGTAAAACCGATCACCAAATGTTGTTTCTATGTATAAAACCTTGTTTTATAAAATATTGTTAAGTTATTCTCATAGAGAACGTTCTAAACCAAACGGTCAAATAGTTTTGTGAATGTTTACACTGAAGAGGTCTTTTCTAATTTGGATCTAGCAGTGTTAATATCTGAAATTGGTAAGCGGTTAACTTTGAAATCATTCATAAACAGTGTTTTGTGTAGAATGTGCAGAAAAGTAAATAATCTTGTACATTTATTTTCCATGCTTATGTAACTGTAATTTAATAGTGAATGGGATCCTTTAAATATGGTTTAAGATAAATTATCATTTAAGCTGTTACACAGGTGATAGTGTAATTGTTTATATTATGCATTTTTTTGTCTCATGATGCCCTTATCCTAAGCATGCGTTAAAAAACTCAAAGACAAGAGACTGCATATGATGCAAAAATACAAAGCCATTCTCACAAGGTTTGTAGATTCAAAAAGTGCTAATTTTATCAAACAGTTCACATGCATAAACAAAAATAGTTTTTACTACAAGGTTCAGCAACAGATATTCTGAGATGAAATAGTCCCCTGTATATTTTTAACATTTTTTGCTCTTCTACTTCAACGTTAGATGCTGTGTAGATGGAATTGTCTGCATTCTTGTAATGAATTAATATTTAACCACTAACAGGTGATTGGCAGGTTATTGTTTTGATATGTACTGTACAGCAGAGCTGCATCGAGGAGCACGTGCTTCCCTCCCTCAGCAGGTGGAATTAATTCTTAATGCAGGATATGGACGATGAGGCTCGTCTCTGCTTAGCCTTCACTCCTCTCCACTGACTGCCAAGCAGAATAAAGGTCTGCTGACACTGAGTCACTATAGGTTACGACATTATGACTCAAGGAGCTAAGCTCAGAACTAACAGAAAATGAGCTCAATTTCCTTTGTGGTATTTTAGCAATAGTTTTGTTACTGTCTAGACACTCTAGTAAAGTTACTACAGGTAACTGAAAGATTGTGAAGCACTTTTGATAGAACTGAAATAGAATGAAACATAAAACCAGCTTTGTTTTATGATGATGTATTTTGTACAGACTCATCTGTTTTTCTTTGACAAAAAATAAACTAAAGTTGTTGTCTAACAGATGTCATTGTCGGCCTTAAAATGGTTTTCAGCAGGCTATATACATAAGTCAGCACCAAGGCACCAGCATTTGGACATAAATGTGGAGCTATTTAGAGGTACGTTTATGCATTTTACAGACATTTTATTCAAAGCTACAGTACTTACATTGCATTAAATGTATAAATTTCATCAATTAATGTACTGTATTCCCTGGGAATCAAACCCATGGCGCTGGCATTGCCTGCACTTCTATTGTTTGAGCTGAGATGGTAGCAGGTACAAAAAATAACCAGCATTTCCTCTTTCCTTTCGGTCTATTTATTGCATCTGAAGTATCTTAACGCCACCTGGCCAGTTCGTTTTAGCCATTCTTAAAGATGCCTTTAATGAATGACCTGATACAGGTGCATCTCAATAAATTAGAATGTCGTGCAAAAGTCCAAAAAATGCAGATGAGCTGAAGGCCACTGTCAAAGAAACCTGGGCTTCCATACCACCTCAGCAGTGCCACAAACTGATCACCTCCATGCCACGCCGAATTGAGGCAGTAATTAAAGCAAAAGGAGCCCCTACCAAGTATTGAGTACATGTACAGTAAATGAACATACTTTCCAGAAGGCCAACAATTCACTAAAAAATGTTTTTTTATTGGTCTTATGAAGTATTCTAATTTGTTGAGATAGTGAATTGGTGGGTTTTTGTTAAATGTGAGCCAAAATCATCACAATTAAAAGAACCAAAGACTTAAACTACTTCAGTCTGTGTGCATTGAATTTATTTAATACACACGTTTCACAATTTGAGTTGAATTACTGAAATATATGAACTTTTCCATGACATTCTAATTTATTGAGATGCACCTGTAAAAGGATTTCTAAGGCTGATGTCCTGACATAACTCTAATTAGCAGCAGTATATGGACACTGTCTGTGTGGATTTAGGTTAGCGCTGGATTAGCGTAGCCTTGTGTCTAATGCAAAAGGAAGTGAACTGCTGCACTACTCTCACAGTGTATTTTACCTTCAAACTCCCAAATGTGACCAAAAATTATATTTACACTTCCAGCCCCAGCAACCCTAACTAATTAAATTATTTTTGGATGCTTTGCAAGGGAGCAGAAATGTCATGACTCTACTAATGTTATATGCAGCCAGTTGTGAGGAGATTTATGTAGAAATATGCAGCTTTATTTGATTGTGATTTTTTGAAGACTCTGTGGAGACTTATGAACTAATGTTCAACTTTATTTGACAAAATTAGTTTTTTGATTCAGCCATGTGAAATTTCAGTTCATTTCTCAGAGTGAGCAATAAACTCAGGCCTACACCTTTAAATAACATTTAGTTGACTATGCATTGTATGATATTGCATGATAATTTAATAACAATAATATAATTTCAGTAATTATGATTTAGCACATTGTATCTTTTTTTTTTTTTAAAGATCAGAACTCAAATTTGACAGTGAATTTTAGTTTTAAAATTCCACATTGCTTGAAAATATGCATAAAATATGATTCATGGTGTAGTTTGAATATAATCTCGTTTTATATTTCCATAATACTATATTTATAATTTACAAAAACATATAATTTGAATTTTGCCTTATTTGGATTATTTACAATGCATTACAGGAAAGACTGGGACTAGTTGTCACAATTTTTAGTTATATAGTTATATACAGTGTAGTTATTTTTATATACTGTAGCCTATATGTTTAGTTTTATATAACATTTCTCAGGCTGGATGTTAATATGGACTTATCTACAAACAGCTATTGAACATTTTCACCATTATTTCTCAGGAAAAACAAATGATTACGGCTTTTCAAAGTTTAGTATGATTAGTAGCCTCTTATCTCTGTCATAACAAATACACTAGACCTGCTGTTTGATTGGCTGAGAGTAAACGGAGGTGGTGGTAATTGTCACTGGCAGTAAGCTGTGGCAGTAAGTCTGTGAGTTAGAAACACACACTTACATACTTCACCATCTAACCTGCACAGACAAGGTAAGAGGCTGAGCTGTCTTTGCTTTTTTTCTGGTGTTCAAAATTTAGAGGGCAAAATGTATGGTTTATTGTAATGTAAATGGTTTTAATAACAAATGGTTTTATTACACAGTGATCAGTCTGAAAGGATACTGGACACACATTGGATTTTTATTCATTTAATTTGTAGATGCATATTCGTTTGTGCTTTTAAGTACATTCAAATATGAATTTTAGTTTTTAAATTTCATGTTGTCTTGAAAATAAAAGCACACTTTAAATATTCTTATTTTTATTTTTTATTATTAATTTATTTATATTTTTTTATATTTTTTATCATCATCATAAGACAGAAACACTTGAACATGCAGTAGCCAAAATATGTCATTAGGGATATTTGATGGAATAAACAAAGAACAGTCAAAATTAACAAACTGCTAGTAGGCAACTGTATATTTATTCTAGAGTTTTCCCAGATCAGACTGAGTGTCCAGTTGGTTTGTCTAGTCTCCAGCAGAGTCCCTAAAAAATGGACCGGACATGATTCCAGACAGACACTGTATAAAACATTAAGACAGGCTTTAGGTCAGTGGGCCTTTGTCATTAGGCTTACATGCTGGGTAATCCTCTTCAATGGCCTAACCTGACTTCATTAAGACATTTTCATGACACTTTACATGAACATGTAAATCCTTTGCCACCATGCAAATAATGTAAATGCTTTGCTAAATTGCATTATTATAAAAGACAGACTCTCCAAAGTTCATTTATAACACCTCACAAACAACTTTTTTTTTAAATCTGTTTTGAGCCAGCTGGAACAAAAAACACATTCAAACATTTTAAAGTTACTTTGACGACTTCCATGGTTCCATTCTGTGTTATAAACTATGCAAAATAAATGAATAATAAATGCTTCTTAGCCAGGAAATAGGGTTGTATTGTTTTGTTTTACTTCGTGTGCCCTGTTCTCTATTACAAGACCCAGTCCACAGAGCTCAAAACAGAATCACTAATCACCCGGATCAGTGGATTAGTTCCTGAGCTTCTCTCTTGGAGGGACGCAGGCGTGCAATAGGCTCAGTGTCTGCCCATGTTAGCTTCTCTAGCTTATAGCACTCTCTCTCCCGTGTTTGCATCTGTCTAGTTGGCTGCTATTGTAGCGACAGATGGATGTCTGCCAAAATACTGTAGAGTCTGATTGAGCACATGCCTTTTGATGTCAAAAGATATGGGAAGCATTTCACCTGCCTTGTAAAAGATGCTATGCATTTTTAGCTGCATTTAATTACACAACCTTAATTT